GCAATTCAACCTAAGTATTAGTGCAAAAACAAAAGTGTGCAAAGTAGCACATATTTTTACATCTTAGAAAAGTTGAAAGAAATCAAGCCAAAATGAGAATAATAAAAAACAGTACAAATATCCAAATATACTGGACTGAAAGTCTTCTGATAGAATAACCACAAAAGTACAACTTTAATGCTTCAGGCAAGCTTTATTTGTTAGATCATAAACAAAATATCACCACAATGCTCCCTCCTTAAAAATGTGGGAAATGTTTTTTGCTTATTTTACTTTTCAACAAACATGAACTATCTGTGCCTTATACATGAACTTTGCCTTCTATATACTTGCTATTAACACTAACAATTATGAGAAAAATCACAATCTTGAACCAGTTTATTGTGTAGGAGTTCCCAATGCTTCTGAGTCATCATTAAACATGAATACCAAGAACACTGAGATTGCAAGCTTCTTTGGAAAAATTTAAGCTGAGTAAATTTAATAAAGAATTGTTTATAGAGAAAGAAATGTCACTTGATACATTATAAAGAACAATTCATTGGGTTAGATGATTTATGTCCCCTGGGTTTTCTGAGTTTTCCAAACAGTCTGAATTAAATATGTCTGTTATTTTTTCTAATTAAGAGATACTAAATACTACTCTATAAGTGAGAGAATGATAACGCATTAAGCTGCTACATATTGGCTAGGTTTCACTGGCCCCAGAGTGCTCCTAGATAGTAATACTCCTTTGTTTATCTTAACAGGAAACCAGGCCAACCCTACAACAGTCTTAGTATGGCTTAAAAGAAACCAATAATTATACAAATACATAATCACACATATACCACACAGAATTTTTAAAGAAGTACTCAATGTATATATTTAAAACAATGTCTATGGAGAAATCTTTTTCAGGAAGGCCTTCTAAAGTACCTACAGTCTCTGAGATGGCCTCTCACTGCTCACTCTCTCCTTCGCGGGAACCTTCCTTTTCCTCGCCTAAGTTAGGTCCTTCCTTTAAGTCCAGGTGAGTCTAGTACCCTTCATAAAATCTTAGCTAGCAATTCCATTCAGCAGCAACCCCTGTGCTTCAGATATTATATCAAAACTGTAATGCCAGATCTTACATTATTCTTTCATTTTTTTTTTGAGTCTTTAATCATTAGTTTTCTTTTTCAAATATATGTTAAATTCCTGTGACCCACAACTAGTCTAGGTTCAGAGAGAAGTAACTGTGGAGTGCCCAGCCCTAAATGGACATCTATTCACACCCTCCCCTCAGGGCTCAGGGATAACTGAGGAACAGCCAGAAGCAGTAAATGACTACTGTGTTTTCTCATCAAAGAGGCACTGCACATATGAACACACCGTGGTTGTGACTTCATGCAACAACATCTGTGAAAGATCAAGCCAGACAAAACCCCAGCATGGATGGGGGAAATGGCACGAAGCTCCAACCCAGCAGAAGAGTTCTTGGCAACTAAAGGTTGCTAGAGGAGGAGAGTCAGTTTCCTCTGGCATGTAGTCTCTGAGAAGACAGCCATGCTTCTTTAGAGAGCCCTACCCTCATGCACACACTGGTAGCACTAAGTGGACCTGTTAGGATTTAAAAATAAAACGGGGTACATGAAGTCGGACAAGAAAAGTGGTAGAGGAGACAGGAGATAAGTTGATAGGTTTGACCAAAACGCATTATTTGCATGAACGAAAATCTAAAACAATGAAAAAATTATGCAGCATTTTCTGTAGCCACTAATAACAAAAGAAGAGTTTATTGTTTAGGACTCACAGACATCTGCTAGAAGTTTAATCACACCCCTGATTTAGATCAGCAGCAATCAGTCCAGAGCGTCCTTTCATCTGTCTTTCAGGCCATCTGACTTCTAACCCTTTCATTTCTACAAAACACTTTTCCACAGTTCATCGTTACCCTAACTGCTGTTTCTTCCTCCTTTGCTGCTGGGTTTTCTCCTTTATCCACTAAATAAATGTTCCTCAGGACTTAGATTTTCTCCTATGGACTCAACCATCCCTCATGAAGGCACAAACTGAACAGTTTTAACTCAGGCCTTTGACTGTCTCCTTAAAAGAAAATTCAAGTCTACAAGTCTAACATTTTAACTCAAAGATCAGTGTGTAAGATTACATCTAAGCTTAATGAAAATATGTTTTAACCAATTACAAAGTCATTTGTGGATATGACCATGACTGTAGGCACAATACTTTATGGACTTTAACATTCCACCAGAGTGAGGAACTATTTAATGGTATTTAACTGAAACTAGTTTTCCCTTTTAAAAAGTTTATATAAATGCTTTAATAAAGTCAAAGCAGGATTATTAATACATTGCTGACTGTTTAAGGAGACAAAAACAAAAGTATATTTACTAGGCACTGAAATCCAAACTCTAAACTGTATTTTTAGCTTTTAATAACCTCATACTAGGAACAGGGATGGTCTGGGATAAAATCCTCCTAAGACACTTTTAGTTCCCAAATTTATATATAGGTAAGTCTTGATTTGTAAACTGTTCTGAATTTTCAAGTGAGGAAATTACTTTTTATAGTTTACAATTTATAGATCATGGGATCAATAACATAAACTAAGCTTTGGGAATGACAACTGTAAATCCTTATTTGACATGAAAATCCAAGCTCAGATTACATCCTCTTTAATTCTTTATTCAGCAGAAACCTCTTCAAATATCTCTAAACAAGTAGACGCTTCAAAGATTCCTTAAAGAGATTTCAACTAAATTGAATTAAATAAATTCAATTTTATCATTTTCTTATAAAAAATCCACAGTAGAGAAATGGCCACATTCAAAGACCGACAACCCAAATGATACATCAAGATGTCCAGGAACAGGAATGGGGATATAGTTCACTGGTTAGGAGTGCTTGATTGAACACAAGAGGACCAGACTTCAGATCCCTGGTATCCATGTGAAGCCAAGCATGGCCATGTATGCTGGGAAGCTCAACACATGTGTGTACAGAATGGAGGTGAGGGAAAAGGGTGGCAGGCAGATCCTTGGAGCAAGCACGTCCATGGTTCAGTGCATAAGAGGAGACTGATGACAGAGTTAACCTACTATGATCAAGTATAACTTAACAAAGCCTAATGAAAGTTTAGCAAAAAGGATTAACAGATCCTTTCCTTAAACTGAAATTCTAGCTTGAAAACCAAATTATTTTTAACTTACTATGATGTTAGAGATCTGTAGGAATGGAACTCATACACATTTTTCAAAGCTATACTGAAGCTCTTGCCCAACAGATAATATTAGGAAGTCTCCCAAAGTCCTAAAGACGTAAGGAGTGATCTATCGAAAATAAAGCATATCAAGAATGTGCTGAGAGTCAAAGTCTATTTTAGAAGAGTCTTATCTACCATAGAAATAAAATAGAACATAAAATTAGGTAAACCCATTAGAACTGCCCAAAGCAGACTCACTGGTGTACCAGCCAAAGCCACCATGGCTGTCCATTGTAAGTTACAAAAGCAATTTTTGCCTATATTTGATTATTTTAAAAAATAGTTTCTTTTCTGAGTTGAATTAATTCAGTAATGAAAGCTATCCTTTCTGTAACATGTGAACCACACACACAAAAAAAAACTTGTCATAAATGATAAGCAATGAAATCTATCTAACAATGATCATCTGACTGGGATGCCCCACTGCACTTTTTAAAATGCCTGACATGCTTCAACTTACCCTAGGCGATGGCAAGGGTGGAGGGCATGAAACACACCCCTTAATGGAGGTGGCAGGCTTGCCCTCCAGTCAAACAGTTTTGAAGCTGTTTTTGCAGTGAATAACAGCATTAGGAACTTCAAGTTTAAGCTGAACTAAATCTGAAAGTTACTGAATCACATCTGATATTCAAGCTTGAAGACCTCATTACATACTTCTATGCAAATAAGTTACAATTTTAAACAATGCCATCTTTTTAAAAAAGTATCCTAAAGATAATTTTAGAAGTGTTACAGTTCAGGAAATATTAACTTAGCCTTGTAAACAGTCTAGAAAGTAGGAACCTGAAAATCAGAATTAACTAAAATAGTCTATGTTGAAGAGTTAAGATATGCTTGTAATTACTATGAATTTTATGTCAGGAGGATTATGAATAGAAAAATGGGCCTAACCTATAAACAAGGATGTCACACATTTAAAATATTGCAATGGAAAGCACAAAAAATAAAATTGAGATAGTATATTTTATTCTTAAAATAAATTATAATTATTGGAAGTGGTGATACAATATAAGCATGCATATGACTATAATTATCCTTTTATCAAAAGCAAGTAAATATTTTCCAAACAAATGGTATTTTTAAGTTTATCGGCAAGGCTAAGACATTTATCCGTCCCTTATTTTGTGGTCAATGTGTGTTAATTATGAAGTACTGATTATGCTCTAAATCTAGGCCTGTTGAGCACAGAGCTGTCCAATAGAACTTGTTGCCGTGGAAATGGTTTATATCTGCATCTTTGACTGCCAGGAACTTAAACTGGGGAGAGCTGTAGCTGAGGAATTGAAATTTAACTTAAATTAAAAATAGCTACATATGACTAGTGTCTACCACATTAAAACACACAGCCTAGAGGGTCAACATGCAAGACTAACTCTCTGGTTAAATTAGGTTTCACTCTTATTTGCTTAAATGTTCGTAACAATACTATACTGAAAATGTTTTTGTCCTGTGGTGTGACTGCTATTTTAAAAACATGCCAGTGACTACGTAATACTACACAAGATAAATCCAAGTGGCAAACACTGCGGCAAGGAGTCTTACTGGTGTTTGCAGCGCGTCAGCGCAACCACACTGACTGTTGGATGCCTGTGCCCATCTGTCTAATGCTCGCTCTAGAATGACTAAAATTCAAACTATGAAATAGCCACTCCTGAAAAGTTTTTCCCATTACCTATCAAAACACAAGAGTGCCCGTTATTACGCAGCTTTCAGCGCCACTGGTTAGACACTGCGAAAGCTCGTCACGCCACTTTACCTGACAGACGTGTTTGCTCTTCCATTTGCTCAGCACACACTGACTGCTTTGCATCAGTTCCTGAAGGACAACAAGAAGAGAGCGTGCAGTTGGCTACACACTTGGTCATTATGAGTTAAAGTGCTTCTGATTTGCAAGAAAAAACAAGGAAGGCAATCAACAGGCCACACAAAGAGGCAACTGTGTGGGAAGCGCTCTTGCTCCACAGAAGCAAAGCCATCATCACCAGGAGAGCTGGTCCTTTATGAACATTAAATCTGTTGAAAGATGCTCAAAAGCACATTTGCTTGTTCCCATTTTTGAAACCTTTTGAAAGATACCTCCAACTCTTTCAGTGAGTCTCGAAGTTTCTCTGGGCGTCTATTTTTGAGTGTCCAAGGATAATCTCGTGCTGGCAAATAAAACATGTACAACAGTTAGTTAAACATGATTTAAATAAGGAACCTCTTCTTAGCGGTGTGCCTTAAAGGATTAGACTAAGACACCCAATAACTTAGAGGAAGTGGACTTCATCTCCACGACTAAATGACAGTCTTCTAAAAGGCTTTGTTACAGAAACAGATTTTTACCACAAACTAATCTCCCTGATTATAATTTTGTGATGATAACCAACAAGATTCAGAGAACCCTTGAGAAATTTTGGTAGGCCAAGGGATCTAGTAGTATTTAGTAGTAAATGGCCTGCTCTTTATAATTTAAGTAACTTTTTCATGAAAATAGTCAAGATGCAATCCAAAAGAAATTCCAACTTCTCCAAGTGGCCAACTCAGACCTGAAACTTCCCATCAATAAGTTAAATGTGGTAGGGAAAGGAACAGAATATAAAAGTAATTAGAAGAAAATTAATTTAAACATGACCAAAGCACTATCTACTTCAACCCTAGAAAAAAAAGTTTTAACAAACAGTTATTAGGAATGTTCTCTGAAATAATTCTCTCTAATGTAAACCCCAATGAAGCCGCAAGCCCTTTAATCTATAACGATGTCCTACCTGAAAGACGTTTGTGCAATGGAGGCTCAAGGCCTGTGGGAGCAACCAACCAGTATCTGACCCATTCCTGACGCTGAGAGGTGCCCGAGAGCCCGAGATGAGGTAGCCCGGGACCCAGGGGTAACTAAATACTACCGTTCTTTAAGAAAAAAGAGGTCAAAAAGCGTAAGGCACTCTTAATGACATTCTGCTATTCTCATAGATCAATACCTTGTTCAACCATCATCACAGAAGCCCCCCCCCCACCCCACCCAGCACACGCAGCAAACAGGAGCAGCTGCAGAGACCCACAGTCTGACAGTGTGCAGCAAACTTCCAGTTCATTGTTTGCACAGGACTCCTGAGTGTGAACATGGGGGTCTCTGCTTCTTGAACCTTCTCTTGGGCTCTTTTCCTTCTGTCATTTGTTTTATCCAATTCCAATGTGTTAGCTTTGTTTGATCTTATTATATATTATCTTACTGTGTTTTATTTTATTACTATCCCTTAGAAACCTGCTTGTTTTCTAGTGAGAGACAGAAAGGGAGTAGATCCAGAGGGGAGGACAGATGGGAGGAACTAGAAGGAGCAGAGAGAGGAGAAACTATATCATGATATACTATGTGAGAAAATCTATGCCACAATTCAATAATGACATATCTTTAATTTATTTAAACAATTTCAATTAAAAGGTCATTTAATAGAGATACAAAGTTAGCCTAAAAATGAATCTGTTTTAAAAGTTAATGAAATTGGGGCAGGGGAATAACTCAGTGATAAGGCACTTGGCTAGCATATGGGAAGGCCTGAGTCTCATTCTCCAGCACCCCCACATACACATGAATACACGGTATATGAATAATACAAATAATATGTTAAACTCACTGGAAAAATGAACTTAATCCTTAGTGTCTCATAATTAATAATTCTAAAAAAGAACTGTATATATGAATGTGTATGTCATGTGTGCATATGCAAATAATATATGGCATACATAGGAATTTAAATTTAAAAGTAGAAATTGCTATGTATCTTTTTTCAGCAAGTTAATTTGGCTCTATAAACATAATTTTGATGTGTAGAACATATGTACAAATTTTAAGATATGTGTTGCAGATACTAATGCAGTAGTCTAAAAATTAAATATTAGTTCAATCACTTAAATAAGGAAAGAAAGGAAGCCTTTTCATTTCTAGCTATATTCCAAATAAACTTTAAATTATATTGGCTTTAATTCATTAAAACCATATCACCCAATAGATACAACATATTTGTATCTTTCAAACTAATGACTAAATAAAATGCCATTATAGTAAATCTCACTGTATTAAAATAGGCACACGAGGGCTGGCCAGACAGCCAAGAGGGTGCAAGCGTCCCCTGCAAAGACTGACAGCCTGAGCCCAATTCCTGGGACCAACATGGTGGAAAGAAAGAACTGATTCACCCTGACTCCCACACACATGTCGTACACAAACAAGCATGTGTGTATGTGCACACGCACACACCAAACAACAAAATAAAAATGTCAAAACAAGTAAAATATGTTAACAATTTAGGCAAAACATGGAAAATTACATTTTATCATGATTTATAATCATTTTCTCACACAAAAATGAGAAGACAAATTTTACTACAGAACTTGCATGGTTGATATATCAAATCATCATGCTATATACCTTGATCATTTATGTTTTTGTTAGGAAATTAACAAATTAAAGTAATTTATTTAAAAATATTAAAAACAAATACACTTAGTTTGAAGTTTTTGTTTACATAAGCACATATCTTACCAAAGCTGTACACAGTAAAGATTTAATGATTTAAATTAGAAAACCCTAACAAATACAATTATTATATATGTGCTCATATAAATGATAGGAATTAGTAATTTTAAGAAATGCGGACAGAATAACATTCATAATTCATGCAGGAAATAGTTAACTTGGAACATAACACTATTTTCACAATAATTTTAAAAAATACATAATGCGGACTTACATTCTGCCAGCCTTTGTTTTTCCTCTAAGTTACCATGCTCTGTTGCTGACACTGTGGCAAAGGAAAGAAGAAAAGAAGAGACGTGGAATTTGCTTTTATTAAGGTATCTTTTATTTTTAGTGGGCACACAATAGATTGCCGCAGACACTGAGATTAATACACGATGCTAAGCTATAAAAAGGACAGCTCAGAGAGAATGTCACAAAGTGTGTTTGCGTGTCATCGGAGCCATTTCCTTAATGCACAGCGAAAAGGCTTCTACAGCACAACAGGTGGGCCAGTATTCGGAGCTTCTGATCTCATCAGACAGCATCCGAGCCCAGAAGAGAAGCTGCTGCAGTCTGTCATCAGAGCCTGGAGTCGGCCCATTAGCCGCCATGCTAAGCACAGGGTGCACATACAGCCCCCACTTCAACCAAGAACAGAACAGGAAGTAACTCTAGCTAGGGAGACCTTTCGGCCCATCATAAAACTTCTGGGATTAACAGGATTAATCAGATAAAGAAAATTGATCATTCACTCAGAAATGTCTATTTCAGATATCAGGTGAGGATCCAGGAGGCCAGCATCACGGGGACCAGTGCATTAACAATGCCCTCTGCTGGGACACCAATAAATAAATGTGACTAGACTGTCCTGTTATCAGCCGGATCAGCAACAGAATGAACATTTTCACGTCATTCTACAACATTTTCTCAGTACTGCTTTATTTTTGATAGATCAGATAGATACCAACCTTAGTATTTTTCTCTCTAAAAAACCTGAAGTGACTGTTCTTCAAAATTTAGAATGTATCTAAAGTCATAAACACAGAGCTTTTAACATTGCTGCCTCATTGCTCGCAATATTTCATTTATAAAAGCAGTTAAATAGAATAGGTGAGTATTTTACCTGGTGGATCTTTCTTGTTATAGTACTGGTAGACGCCGACATCTCTATCTATAGAAGGAAAGAGATAACATTAAATTATGATAAAAAGTTCTGAGAATAAGAAGCCAAATCATACTATATATCAGAGGGAATTGTGGGGATGGGAGCAGAAACAGTCTCCTTATGTTACTAGAAATAAAATAGCTCAAAAGCATCTGGACATGGGTTCATCTATTCTAGGGATATGCAGAAACTGGAAAGTTTGCCGATCTAATGAGAAAATCAGAATGGCATAAGGAAACACACAGAGCTAGAAGGCCATGGGGAAGATTAGTAAAGAACGGAATCAAGGAAGACCGAGTTTTCTCCTTCACACTTCCTCTGATATTTTTCACAGGGCGCTACCAAAAGGAACTGCCACTAAGCAATGCCAAATGAAGTCAGTGGATGGAAGAAAATGCCCTAGCTGTGGATTCTGAGCTGTGGCTTGCTTTTCTCCAATTTAGCTCAGAAGTCTAGTTCCCATCCTATAGCATTTGGGAGGAAATCTGCAAGAAGAAAGGGGGGATTACTGGGAGCTGTGGATAAATTATTATCTGAAACTTGTTTAGAGTCAAAAGGCTTCCAAACCTATTCAAATTCAGATGCTCTGCTGGGCTAGGTAAGAGACAAGTGAGGCTTCGCAGATGTTGGGATTGATTTAACCAAGGGATTCTGTTCTTGCAATTTAAACAAGAGAACAGAATAATTTTCCATGTCTATGAATAATGAAATATCTCTTTTATTGAAGTAACACTTGTTTTCTTCCATGCAAAAATAATTCTCAGTTATAACATAAGGAGGCTACAACTGTCTCTCAGGAATGGAAGCAGTGCAGGCTGCCCCCTAGTGGAGGACTGCCTCCACATTGCATCAAACTGACAGACAAAACCAAAAGAAAACACATGGAAAACTGCTATGATTGAGTCATGTATACTTGATATACTCATATACTATATATGAGCATACTCAACACTCACATATTCATATACTAAATACTCATATTCAATACTCATGCTAAAGCTATATTTTATTCATCATGAAATTAAGACATGACTTTAAAGAATGCAATTGGATGTCTGTCATTTAAATAGAAAATATCTACTGAAGACTGACTGGGAGACTGTGGCCTTTGAGCACTTACAATATTTTGTGAAGCTGAGTATGATTTCACAAGTGTGTTCACTTTTGATAGTTCACAGCATATTCTTACAATCTGTACACTTCCCAGTACATATGTTACACTTCAATTTTAAAAGTTTCTTGTTATTTAAAGCTATGAGCTAAGAACTGTGGGCATTATATATGAAAGCAATATCTCCTATTAAAACATTCCAGTCTATAATTACAAGATCACTTGATATATCAATATACTTACAACTCTAGCATAGAGCTAGAAGATCATAAGGGACCCTGAGTTCTGTGCACAGATCTGACCTTTCTGTACCTAGCAGAGTGGACCTGAATGTCAGTAGAACAGGGGCATCTGCAAAGGAGACCTGTCCAGGAAGTACCTGTCCATCCAGCTAATAATACAGTACTTGGATAATACAGTACATTAGAACCCCTGCAGGTACAAAGTACATACACAGGGCATAATGGCTTGTGGTGTAGTATTAGAAACCAACAAGATAAGCAACACATGGGCATCATCTAACTTGTGACCAGGACCACACGGAGTAAGGATATCCACACAGAACGGGGACACAGAAATGCTAGGCTGATATCTAGGAGTGACTGACTGGTTAACTAAAGACATGGGAGCAATGAGAATCATTCTGTCTGAAACACAGATATGAAGAGAAGAAAATTATTTCCTGAGGTAATTTTTTCACTTTTCACTATTTTTTTTTCTTGTGACATACTTTCAATTTTCAAGATCAGTTTAACATCATTGCTTTCTAAAGCTTCTGTATCTGGCTTTTTTGCTTCACATATTCAGCTCTTCCCCTTAGGTTTGTGGTTTTCTCTTCCCTTCCTACATAATTAGCTTCTCCAGAATTCCTTTTCTTACTGGCTTTTTATTGCCCTTCTTCTTCCTGGTAGAAAATACTCACATAGCTAATGGTTCCTGAGCTTGCTGACAAGCGAGGCTCTAGAAATCTACTGAAGTTTCCATACCTGAATAGGGTTTCACTGACCAGCCAGGGAAGACCCCTAAGACATCAGGGTGGGTGGTTTCTCTTTGGGTTCCTGTGGTTACCCCAGGACAGAATTCTATTCTCAAGCCCCTCCTTAGCAAATACACAGAAGTGAGAAGGCAGTCTCAAATGCAAATGGGTGAAGAGGACCTTATCCATCAACACAGCTTCAATTTCCTCCATCTGCAGTTGAGCCAGTCTTCTTCCTGAGATCTGGCGTCCTAGAGTTTAGAGCCTCTTTAATTAAATATTTCCACATCATGGAGGTGTCTCATTATTTTATGCAGACACGCATTCCCTTCGTTGTCACCCTGGGGCCACATCCCCATTTTCCGCAACACATGCTCCTCAGGTTTCTGCCTTTCCCAGGGTTAAGAAGCAAATGGGCTGTCAGTAGGATTCTTTTCTGCAGGCAAATAATACTCAGATTTTTAGCTCTGTTAATTCCTTCATGTCTGCTTTTTCAAAAAAATGTCCAACTAAAAGTGTCCTTTTCCTAATCTCAGATTTTGTGTGTTTATGTATCTTTATTTTAATTTGGTTAATCTTATTTTAAGAGTTTTGGGAGGAAACAAATATGAGTCAAATCTTTAAACTAGAAATTCCATCTCAATATACTTCAAGGAAAAATAAATGAAAACATGGCAATCATTTGTTATTGTATGTTCAATATTAAGAAACAGTACTTTGCAAAGTAAACCATTTTCTTAATACAGATATAAAAGTAATGTAAGTAAAAATGCACTTCCAAATGTAAAAATTAATATGGATAATTAAAGTAGAAAAATACTTTATAAGTTGTTTTCTCGTGAAATATATTTTATCCTATAATATTAATAAATATTGTTAAAACAGATATATTATTTCCATTCAAGAAATACAAAGCACAAAGAACACAAATAATTGTACACCTCAGCTACAAGTTTGAAATGTTCTTAATCAAACAGAAATGTCTTATAAGCTATTCTGCAAAAATGTATGTCTATATAGCAGTTGAACAAGCGTAATAAAAAAATTGAAGATGTATGTATCCTTAGAAGGAAGAGCTATTAGACTAGTAAAATTAATTTCAAAACCCAATCCAAAAGTAAGTTAATAAGAGTGTTTAAAAGAAATTTTTTCACCACTCAGTTTTCATTATAAGACTGGGGGGTGGGGGGAAGAGAGAGACAGACAGACAGACAGACAGACAGACAGACAGACAGAGAGAGAGACAGAGAGACAGAGACAGACAGAGACAGAGACAGACAGAGACAGAGACAGACAGAGAGAGTAGAGAGATACTGCAATTCTATCTGCCAAATCCAGGCCTAACTTTGTCAACTCTCACAGGTCAGTGCATGAGAGTCTGAAGAGCCATGACACTGATCCGGAGCTCGCTCACCCGCAATGTGCAAGGTACTCTTCAGGGACCACAGGTGTAGTTCAGTCAAGCAGAAAGACATCTGATGGCACAGGAATCTCTGTCCTGTTCAAAGTAAGTAAGAAAAAAAGTGGTACTGATCAATTATTTCCCATTGTTGTTCACAATCTAAACCCCTTTAGTTGTTAAAAAAAACAACTAATAGCCAAGATATGGTCCATTAGACTAAACACATTTTCATGTATTTGGTTAACCATCCAGAAGTAAGCTCTAGAAAAAGAAAACTAGACTTCTTTTCCTGAATTTACTATGTCACCACATTGAGAAATATAGTGAGGAGACTATATTTGGGTGTTCAATAACATATGTTTGGTTACAGCTCTAAGTATACTTAGAATTATTTAATATGTCTAGGTCATAATTTTAGAAAAAGAGAATCTGCTAGGTAGTTATTCAGCACAAACACATTTTTGTGGTACATTTAAATATATAAGCAAATATTTTAAATACAGCAAATATAAACAGGCTACAGTGGAATGTGTAGAGTAAATGACATATAGTTAATATCATAAGAGGTACAGTTACTTAAAATTAAAACTGTATGAAACTACATTACTATTTTGATGATGTGTTAATCTTCACTTCATGACAGACAGACTAAACACATTTTTTAAATCAAGATAGTTAAAATATACATCCTGGCCAGGCGTTGGAGTTGCACACCTTTAATCCCAGCACTCAGGAGGCAGAGGCAGGCGGATCTCTGTGAGTTTGAGGCCAGCCTGGTCTATAAGAACGAGTTCCAGGACAGTCTCCAAAACAATACAGAGAAACCCTGTCTCAAAAAACCAAATAAATAAATGAATAAAATAAATATCCTAGATTTCCTTCTATTTTAACAGCAGGGACTGGTAACATAGACCATTGACACTTAAAAGAAAATCACATAGGACCTCATTAATTTGGACTGATTGGGAGAAAAAGCAGTCAAATTCTAGAAAAAGTTCTCATTTTACAAATATTTAAAATAAGTTATTTAACTTTCAAATGTTTGCATAGAAATTCATATAGCATACTATACACATACTATTATTATATATTAGAAACACATCTAATGATTTAAACTAAGCACATTATAGAAACTGTAAAAGAAATAAATGTTCTTTTCAATGAACCTCTGGAAAACAAAATAAGCTTGAAAAGTAATTTAAGACAGCTTTTAATAGAGGAAAAGACCCTCCTGTTTCTTTAACATTAGGAGTGGCTAAAGTATTTCCCACATTATTAATGGGTAATAATCCAAAGTAATTTCAGACATAATAATAACTTTCCTTATCCTCACCTCACCTCACCTTTACAGAACCAGGATATAATTACAATCATAATGAAACACGTATGTTCTGCTAAGGAGACAAGGTGTGCCATGGCAATGAGGCAAGATGAACAGAGGAGCACTCAGGGTCCTGATCAGGCTTATGCATGGGAATGCACAGGTCTACACACCCACACATTCATATGCATGCACCATACACAACACACACACACACGAAGGAAGGGAAGGAGGAAGGGTGGGAGGGAGACAGGGAGAGAGGGAGGGAGGGAGGGAGGAAGGAAGTCAAGTAAGCAAAGAAGGGGTAAGGAGGAATCAGGCTATAATGATGCAGTAGATGAAAAAAGGACACATCGATCTCTGTATCACCTTGTTATACCTGCATATGGAGAGGGTACTAAGTAGAGTAGGTGGTTTACAAGGAAAAACACCCTTATATGAAGAAGGTCACACACAAAAGAAGACATTTGAAATAGAATACACAAATGTGTTGACATTCATTGTGCCAAACAAGGATGTGATGTAACAGGTGCATTTGTCCTCTGACACTGAGTATCTGAAGTCACCAACACCAGACTGCACAACAAATAAAAAACCCTATTACTCAAGTTAGAGTTTATTCAGATGCCAATAGCAATAATTTGTGGCAATGTGGGCAGAGACAAGGCTTGTTAAGATGCTTATAGTTACATAAAGACTATGAGTTATTACAGATGAAAGTTTACAGATTAAGGAATACATTTTTACTTACATACTAAAAGTAGACAACACTTGAAATCATGTTTTTAGTCAATTCAATAGAAATCAACTTGCCAAGCTTTGTACTGATAGCAAATAGGAGGGTAAAATACATTCTTAGTAGTAGTGTACATGTGTTATCTAAATATCTATTTTAATATGGAAGCCCTAGAACACTGGGATATTGGGAGAAAAGGTGAAATTGGCTTGGTGGAGAGTCTAAGATGTCAAGGACATACAAGCTCATCCTTTGCATCTCCTGCAGGAGAGAGCTTGCAGTCAGGACAGTCTATGGCCACAGACTGGTCTTGCATTTCAGCACCCAGGGTTCACACCAAGCTGCAGTGAGAGTGAAGGACTGGGGACATGTGCTGTTGCATGAACTGGTGTCAGCCTGGGGTAGGCAGCACAGCAGCCACTGTATTGACGGACTCAGAGAAAGTATGGCATCCAAGACAGACTGGGACCTGTGCCTGGCGAAAGGAGATGCCAGGGCCAAGGAGGGAGCCACAGCCTTTGGAAAAGGGTGTAGCAAGACGAGAAGCACACATGAGTTGAAACAGATGAAAGGGAAAGGGCCAGCAAGGTCAGGACTGGACCCCTCATAGACACAGAGCGAGGTCAGGAATGAGCTTGCTTACAGACACACAACACAATCCTGGGAATTACCCAACATAAGTGATTAAAGAGAGAACTTCCCATTAATGGACAGAGGTGGAGAGACAGTCAATTGTTATTCACTCCTCCCTCCTTTTTTTTTTTTAACTATCTGTGAGAAAAACTATAAAATCTGAAGAGTTAATAATGGAATAAATAAAACGACATCAGTAAAATCTACAGTGCTAATTAGATGGAAGAAACAGACCAAACCAGTACCTCTTTTTGACCTCCAAGAGGCCTTGCCATCTTTAAAACTGTACAGGTTTTTAGAACACTTTGGAAACATCTTGCATCTTACTCAAGAATGTCACCAGTGAAAAGGAATGCTGGTAATTTCCTGGTATGAAAAACCTGCCTGGAGGAAGTAATCAAGACTGAGCTTGTTCCATCCAAATATTGTATTAGCACAGAAATAGCTTTTTTGAAGTAGGAAAGAAAAGAATTTCACAAACACTCTGGATGTTGCACTTGGGGAAGGAGGTATGGGCAGGGACTGAAAGACGAGTCAAACAGAGGTTCCTGAGCTGAGAAACACTAGTCCATTAGTGCCCTTGTGCCTGTCTCTGGGAGACCTGGGAATAGAATCAAGGTCACTATGCAGAGCAAAAATACAGGGTCTGGAAAACAATAACTCAAGGAATGAAACAATAAATAAAATGACAACCATAATGTAAAATCTCGTTCATTTTTAAGTCTCTTTAACTTTAATGTTCTGTTTTTTTAATTATATAAGGTAGTTTATGTCAGTTTCAATTGTTTAAGAAGACCATTGTGTAATCCAAACATTCAGTCTTCATGACTAGATACATAGTATGATTTACATTAAGCCTGACATAAATTTAAGATGGCATACTGCATAAGGAAAAACCTGTAGAAACCAGATTTTGAGGAAAGGAGGGTAAGAAAACCCTTTTGTTTTCTATTTGATCCTCAAAATGTGCTGTGTTTAAAGACAGGCTTCCCATCACTTTCTTCCATTTCAGTTACATGACTCCTTTCTGCAGTAACATGCAAAATAGAAATCATTCCCGTAACTATTCTTTGGGAAAACAAATATATGGTCGAGAAGTAAAGATTAATTAGCACTTAATAAATTACCAAATATTTGACTTCTGCCAAAGTTGTTAGGTCTGTAGTTGCCTGTCTTCTGAAGCCAGCTATTTCAACTGCCATGGGGCAGAAAGGAAGCTTGGGGGCAAATAAAACTCTAATGTAAAACATGATAGCAGAAAACTAATGCAACAAAAAAAAGACAGTGCTAGGACATCATGGCGCCAACAAGACATTTAAAATGGATGTATGGTATCAAAACACTGCACAGAGCCTGAGGGAATCTTTCTTGGGCATACGTGTGGAATATATACTTGCTATTTATTATCATGTATTTCCATGAAGAGTCTAACTGAAATTTTTTAGAAAGAAAGATAACTACATAGTATAAATTTACATAAACCACTGGTTCAATGCAGTGTTAGAATCATAATTGTTTTTCAATTACATAAAATTCAGTATATTACACTACAATTACTTTCTAATATCATTAATACAAAGTACCAGTAAATACCTGTTAAGTATATTCATGAACACATTTGATCAAAGACATTGTCACAAATAAAGATTTTTTCCAGAAACTTTTAACAATGGATCAAACAAGAAATATTTTATGCAAAGGGACAAGGGAATCTCAAAATAATGAGACCTCAAACTTGGGCTAAATTTACTGCACTGGACTACTAGGGACAATGGCTCATTTGTGATCACAGAGGCTTATTGTATTTAAATATAATGGACTATAACAAGCACTTAAAGTATCTTATGTATATATTGTTTTACCATAAATCTCAGGTACAAAGATTTATAGCAGGGTCTCAACTATCAAATAGTATAGTATAGCAGATAAAACAGCCATGGATATATGCATTCTACTTCAGAAAAATAAACAAAGACCTCCAGGTGCCCAGTAGATAGTAGAGTTTGGTAAAGAAATTATTATTGTTGTTGCTATTATTAATTTTGGAGACAGGGTCTCACTATGCAGCTGTGCAGCCCTGGTACTGGAACTCTCTATGCACACCAAAATGGACTTGAACTCACAGAAGTCTCCTTGCTTCTGCCTCCTGAGTTTTGGGATCAAAGGAGTTCACCACCATACCTAACTAAAGAAATGGCCACATAAAATACTTGAGCATTGGTAGATTTTGTATGAGGAGACAGAGACTAAAAAAAAAAAAAATAATGAAGGAAAAAAACACATAAAGAAATTTAAAAAAATACAGGGGTTGAGAAATGGCCTTCAGTGGTTAAGGGTACTGACTGCTCTTCCAGAGGATCTGGGTTCAATTCCCAGCACCCCCAAGGCAGCTCACAGCTTCTGTGA